ATTGGTTGAATTTAAAGAGATCTTGTTTGTAAAGACAATTTGAACATTAAAACATATTTGAGGGAGGTTTGCATTCATTGTGTGTGTACTGGAGTTCTACTGCAAGAAGAAACCATGGATACAAAGTAAGATGAAGAATTAATTCACCCTCTGTTTATCTGTCTGGGTTGATGTCCCTTCCAACCCTTACCATTCTATGATTTAGGGGTGTAAGTACTTAATCTGGTCCCTGGGCATCCCAATTTCTACTTGTTTGTTGGGTTTTTTCTAGGAAGTTTCAAACATTTTGTTTTCTTGAACAACGCATACAACTTTAATTACTTATAAGAAGGACACAGATGATTGTGCAGGACTGTATATGATTATGGTAACTGAGAACTTGCTCGCATATCTACAGTTCTGTAGTAGACTGTGATACAAAGGACTCAAGGAGACTGAAAGCTGCCTGCAGACAGATGCACATGCAAGAACAGACGGTCCGCATCAGAGCGGTTTTAACCGCAGGAGGCTACTGATCCTCTGAATATTACCAGTGACATAAATGTGTCTGCATAGGCTGTACTGCAGGAAACATCTATCTCCACACTATCAGGTAAACACTGACCTTTGTAAGACAGAGGTATTTACTAACTGTCCTTAACACCCCTGAACAAGGCTAAAAAGGAAGGAACAGATGTTATCAGTACCATATTTGTTTTCATACCTAGCATGCTGGTTTTTGACATTCAGCCCCCTCAGTGTCTCATTGTATTTCTGAAGTTAGTAACTGTCCTCAATGAATTACTGAGATGCTGCATCCAAACTCTTTTCAGAAGGGTGCAATAAAAGGGTGGAAGGCAACAGACACAAGTTACATCAAGGGAAAATCCCTATTCCCTGCCATAAATCTGTGTGCTTTGTAGCCTCGGGCTATAAATTCGTGTCTTGAACTTATAATTACAAGCAAGTATAAGTAAGCCACTGGTTAGGTTCTGTGAGTCGAAGAGGGACTAGAGTTGTTCCCCTGAAGAACAAGGCACTTTGCTTGTTTGTGCTTATTATCAATGCAGCACTGTAGACAGTTCATTTACCAGACAAGGCATGTTTGTTCTCCATTTAAAATGAAGTTACTGTCTTTATCTTTGGGATTTGTTAAATATATCGATGCACATTACAGGTGCTGCTTAAGACCTTCCTCTAGAAAGGGATTGTCGTGTGCTACTGTATGGACTTTGTACTTCACCTTCTTGTAATAAATATCCTCCTCAGTAAATAAAGAATAATATTCTTGTCACTTACATCCAGGTTATGCTGCTGTCACACAATATTTGAATTGTTTTCCAGGTACTTTATTTGGTAGAGAAGATCAGTTATGTTAGTATTGGACAACAGTGTAATATGTAGGGTGAAATAACTTGATATATCACTGTGAGCTTTTGCCTTGCTGTCCTAAAGGATTCTGAAATGAGGCCTCTGCAGAGGCCACAAGCTTGTTTCTGGCTCACTGCTTGTGTTACCTTGGCTTATATCTGACAAACTTCTCTGAGTCGCTGAAGTCTATTCCAGCTTGATCTCTGTACAGCCTATTCTACTTCTGATGTTTTTGTTGGGAGGTCAATAAGACATGATACTAGTTTTCTTGATAATGTTGCACTGAATGTACTCAATATTTTGATGGTAACAGACACTGACAGAAATAAATGCAGGAGATTTTTTTTCTGGCTGCATTTACTACAAGTTGGAGGAAGCTTGGAATAGGTGGGAGGTAAAGTACATTCAAGAGAATTGCGTATTTGTGGAAAGATTTTGAGTAGCCCCATGGAATATATTAAACCACTGGGCTCTGGGATAGGTAGTAGATTTTGCCTTCAAGATCCTGGTGCTACTGGACTTGAGGGTAGTCAAAAGGGAAGGAGGAAAAACTCGTTGTTACCAAGCAGCCCACCTGGTATTAGCTACAGATGTTCTTACCTTTTGCTGTTTTCATATTGTGTATTTATGCTGCTCTTAATATGCTAGTGTTAGTTCCTAACCCTCTAAGCTGTTGTCTGAGAGTACTCTTCAGTCTTCCAAATCAGTAAGCCCCAGTCTCTGGACTACTACTGCTGCTCTTGATCCCTGTGCAAAGAAAATCCATGCTACCTCTGGTTTACTCTAAGCCAGGTCTATTTATCAACTTGTATAAAGATTCATGTAAGATTGCTAAAAGTAGAAACAAGATTGGGAGTTATGAGCCTGACTTGGAGAAGGGATGAACAATGTATATCTAAGAAGTGGGGCACCTAAACTTCTAGATTAGGGTCATAGGAGGTTTAAAGACAAAGTAAAGCAACAATATCCTCACATTCTTCTGTAAGCCTTGCTCAAACTCTGCAAAACCAAAGCCTGCTACACTCAGTAGCAGATTATCTCAACATGGGAGTTTAATTATTATTCACATTTAATTTTTTTCCACCATGGACAACTACTTTCTTCCTCTGAGTAACTCTGATCTTCAAGTCATCCTTTGTTCTCTCAATGGAATATTTCACTGACTCTGATTCACTCTTTCTATGCAAGTCTACTCATTTTTAAGACTTGATTTGTTGAGCCCAATACAAGTTACCTGACTTCAAGAATGGGAAAAATGACTACAAGACTTAGGTGTGTGCACAATTAAAGTGAGCGGAAAAAGAGAAATCATAAGATTGATAGGGCTGACAAGAATTATTTTTTTTTTGTTACTTGAGTTACGTTCTGCTTCTGTAGACCACAGGAAACCAGGAAAACACCTGCATGGAATTTCCAAAATTAAAAATACTTGTTAACTATGAATATGGTTATTGTAGAGGATCTTGCTTTGAGCAGGAGTTGGACAAGATCCCACAGATGGACTACAAGTTGGTCACCTCCAGCTTGAATGATTCTATTGTTTTGAATACCCTGACTTGCCATTTGTAGTGTGAAAAGTGCTACTTATTCTTAACATAGCTCTAAAAATATAATATTTCAAAATCTTATGTGTTCATCCATATTCAAGTTCACTATCCCTGTTTCCTGTAGACAGAAGTGTAGTCCAGGATTTGGTGGGATTTCACATTATGGAATAGTTAGGTTCTGACCCATGGAAATCTTTTCACGTAACTTCTGTCCTCCTAGTTTACTGAGGATTTTTTTGGTTTCATCATGAGATGGTTGGTAACAGACCTGCCTCTTTCATCTCCCATGCTTTTAATCTATCTAGATAATACTTTGCTCTGTTTTATGCAGAGAATGGTGGCTAACTGCTGCTTGAAATACTTTCTTATTTAATAACTAGTCTCCTTTTCTTCTATTATTATTGCTACAGGAAACTGCAAAAAGTATTTTTTAAGCCTTACAGTTTTAGGGCTTATTGGAATAACCCCATCAATCTTCATTTGTCCGAAGGCTGGCATCGCCTCATTTGACTCTGTCCAGTAAAAGGACAGAGGAGCATTTTTTACAGCAACAGTAGCCTAACTCACTATCACTAGCTGTTTTTTAAAGTTTTCTGGGTCTCTCTTAGGTTTGTGATGAGTAATTCATCTAACTTCTTAAAGTGCACAGAAGAAACCTGCAAATATTTGCTAGTATTCAACTTATTTCCACGCATTGTTTTCCATTCTTTCTGGTGACAACTTCTAGAGTGCAAGAGAGGGAAAAAAAAGTGAAAGAACTTCCAAGATTACAACACTGGACAAGTTTAGTTAAAGCGAAGAGGAGAAAAAGTCCCATGAACTCCTCACGTCCCACTTGCTAGTGTGAAGGACTTCAAGTTTCTTCTGACTTCTGCTTTTAGGTTTCTTTTTGGTTGCTCTCAGCTGGCCTTACACTCCTTCATTCTCCATTTCAGCCCAGTTCTGTCTGAATGTTACATTTTGGCTTAGGCAAGCTGTTACCTTCCATGTATGGCCAATTATTAGCTTTACTGCACTCTTGCTGTTCATCATAAACTTCTCTGGAGTTAGCTGGCCAAATCTGTGCTGTGCTGGAGGGCTGAGCTCAAGTCCACAGTCAAGCAATGCTGCCCAGTTGCAGAATATCCACTTGCCAGTCACGTAGCTGAGCTTTAACTTAACTGAAAACAAGTGATTTCTTTGAAATGCTTCGGTCTTTTACATGACCCAAAGAGGTAAACTACTGATAATCCACCTGTTAAGCAAAAGAGGCACTTAAAGGAAATAGAAACTAGTTTCTATGTGAGAGGAAACAGTGTCTGTTTTACAAAAAAAAGGAGGGGTGTGTTTTTGAGAGGCAGGGATTATATTTTGGAAAGTTACAATTTTCTCTAATATCATGTACTTGGTCTGTAATGGAGTGATGATATCATTACAGATTTTCTTTTGAATCTAATTTCTGATGCAAGTAAATGTTTTCTGGAATGAAATCCTGAAG